AGTTTAGAAACACTGGAACTGAAAGCATGACACCAACCAGTGTAACCCAAATCTTGACATGCAGTTTTACATTCGATATGTATTTATTTCTGTTCTTACACTACAAGTCAAGAGAAATAAATTTCACTACGCAGTTTGATCTACAGTAACCTCTCAAAGATATTGAATTCTTTTAGGGTTTTAAACACAAACCCATAAAGCAAGGGAGCACTTTTATTTTATTAGGAGTACATTAAGCCATTGCACATTTAATGACATCGGGTAAAGATTTCAGGAACATTGCACTGCAGAAGAAACATTTATTTGCTCCTCTCTGATGTATTTGTCAGTTTTCTGACCTCTTAAGCCTGAATTCATTCTACAGATCAAGTGAACCAGGTGCCCTTCAGACCGCATCCTTTTGTTTATAAGAGGTTGCAATAATTGCTGCGTCTCTTGCAAGGTTGGTTTTGCTGAATAAAATTGACCAATTTTCCTCATGTTTCTCAGCACATGCCAGTAGAAACACTTTCCTATAGGAGGTTTGATGTGCTGCATTTTTCAACTGCACCAGGCAGCTGCAACAGCAATGATGGGTATTCCTATTCCTATAAAAAAGCAGCAGTGCCTCCTTTGTTTAGCGTCTTTCCTAGAAATCACTGAAGCCTTTTCTATAAAATGTGCCCTTCACATGCAGTGGGGGATTGAGGTTGGATTGGAGTTATTGTGCATGTCAAAGAGACATCTGCTTTTATTAACTCTGCACATATCTGCCTAAGCTTAAACTGTGATGTTTGTTGTCTTTTAAACAAAGGAGAGCTTCATTTAACCTAAGAGCATCATGAGGAACTTTTTCAGCTTGAAAACTTTAAAGATTGGTAAAAACAGCAGCAACAAGAGAAAACAGAGATTCAGACAGATAAACACCTAAAGCTGTAAAAAGAAAAAAGTCCTGAGTGCCATGCTCCCTGCTGAGTTTATTAAAGGTCACTGTTGCCAGAGAACAGTAATTATCGGAGGAAATCCACCTCTGATCTATGAGCTCAGACTTAATGAGCATCTAAATGATGAGTTGCACCACATGCTTGTGGTGAATTGACTTCACATTGAGCAACATTTTTAATTTCTTTATGATAAATACCTCAGTTTTCATGTTTCTGCTCGTTTTCAACATTTTATCAACAGGACCACTAATTATCCAATAAGTTACCGGTAAGGCTATATTTGAACTAGATTTTAGCACTATTTTTAATGGTTTTTTTTTTTTTTTTGACAAACCAGACAAAATCATTGCTAAATTATTTTACAACAGCAGACATATTTGTCTAACTTGATTAGATTGTTTTGATAGATCATGCATGTTTTCAATTTATTACCCATGGCTGTAGTTTTTCTCTTTCAGCATGCTGTTTTGATGCTGTGTCTACTTTTATTATTGACTCACTCAATGATGTCACGAAGCAGATTTTTTTTTTAAATCTTCAAATTTCTGAAAGACCACAGTTCTATAGCTGCTCTGAACTTCAGATCAGATTGACAATAAACAATAACTTCAAGCTGAATACAAGATCAAGTCTATAAAACATCTGAAATGGGAGATGGTGAAGGTCCTAAAATAAAAAAACAAACATTCCTTGATGGAAAGCTTTGCATGCCAGAGTTTCAAACAAAGTTCCTGTGTGATCTATTAGCTCTCAGCATATATGGTGGGGATGACTCCCAGCTATCTCCACGCCAATTATCAGATCAGTAATTGTAAAACCGGCTGAGTGCAGCCATTTGTGTTTGCCTAGGTCCAACAGCTGTTAATCAAATTTACTTCACAATTTAATCACTTGTTGTAAATATACACTCAATAATCACTTTCTGAGAAATTCATTAAAATATTTTTACGGTAGTTCATAAGATATTTGCTATCAGACAAACAAACCAAACATAAATAAACACAGAGAGGCAAAGGCTTTTGCATGATCACCCAGCTTTCATGGCAGTGTGTGATAAAAATAATTCAGCAACACAAGGGCTTGTTTAATCAGTTCATTGAGTACATTTTGTTGAAGACAACAATTGAACTGGTAGGCATGAAGAAACAAGAAATGTTTCTTATTTTCATTTTAACTTAGTCAAAGTTTTCTAGTTTTTTTTAAATAAAAGTTATAATTTAAAACATCCAAAGATCTGTTATTTTACTATCATGCAGTCGTACTTGTGCCCTGTGATGGACTTGCAACCTGTCCAGGGTGTACCCTGCCCCTCGCACAGTAATTGCTGGACATGGGCACCAGCCACCCCCGTGACCCAAAATGGAAGAAGTGGGTATAAGATAATGGGGAGATGGATGGACAGTCATACTTGTATTTAATCTCTGCACCTCCTGGTGTCAAATTTTAGCTCTTTGGAGCTGAGGTAATGCTACCAAAGATGTGTTTTAGGACAACTAATAGTGGGGTTAATTTGTAACTAGGAGGAAACAAATACAAAACTGTTACGGGGTTAAACTTTGGTAAGCAAAGCAAACATTATATTAGTTATTACAGCTTTTTTTTTGTCTTCTGTTCACTGGTGATGATCTGTTTTGTGAGTATATCCTGATCCTTCTATTTTTGTTTTGCTGCCCTGTCAGGTCTTTGCTTTGTTAATAAATTCTTCATTTTATATATATACATCCTGAGTCCTTCCCTGCCTGCCTGCACCACTGGGTTCACTAGCACCAGCCCTCTTGAGACAGAAAAAAAGAGGACTGATAGTAACTAAGAGCACAGAATATTACTTGTGGGCTTGATTTATTTAATCAAACAGAGTGATTGGGATTAGAAAAAGGAAAATCCTGCAATGTGAGAATAATACAAATGGCAATTAAATTTGATTTGCAAAAGAAAAGCTTCATATTACTGAGAAAACTTGTCTAAAATGAAGCACTGAATGGAGCAAAGAGGAGAACTATCAAATTAATCACAAAGTGAGGTTAAATGTTGAGTTTGTTACCAACAAAGTCACATATGGATGTACCGGTAATTGATGCTGTGTGGGTCAGACCAATTTGTGAATATGTCTGTAAAAGATGGGAGTCCCTGTCAGAATCTGCTTGCATTCAGGAAAAAAAAAAAAACTAAATCTGATCTCATGTGGAGCTGCTGGGCACAGCATCCTGATGAGCCGAGTTGTTAACAAGCCTGAGCCTCCTGCTGTCGCCTTCTCTACGACAGATTCCTCTGATCCTCCTTTGACTGATGTTTTTTTTTTTGGTTTGAATATAAAAGATAATTGGGTTTTGTGTCATTACACAGATTCCACACATGACCTCATCCAACTTAGCAACTTGTGAAACTTGTAAAAACGAAAAGAAAGTTAAATATGGGATGGGTTTTTAATAGAGTTGAGTTGGACCAGGATGACGGGCAAATATTACTCTGCCTGTGGTTTGGTGTCTGCAGCAAACAACGGGCCACCGGGGGAGGACGTATGGAAAGTGTGACTATGGTTCCAGACAGAAAGGAGGAATATCTGTGGGGTTGTGCTTTAATGGTATGGCCAGAAGATAGAGCCTTTTTTTTGTTCTTGTTCCGCAACGTTTACTCAAATGTTAATAAAATCTGTCTCCTCGCACCAACACCACATCTCCAGTTTCCCTCGAATTGATCCAGCGTGCACAATGAAAAGATCTGCACCAGATGGAAACCAGCTTTTTTTAATCTCGAGATGTTGAAGCAAAGCAGATTCTCTTACTGACAACCACTTCAAATGAGCTCTCATTCCCTTCTCACTCCTCTGCTTCTGTCTGGTCTTTACTGCAGTTTTTAAAGCACTTCATCTGGGGCCTCAGGTAGGGTTTCCACTTCCTGGTTGTCACAGTTATGGCTCATTAAAGAGGAAACCGAGTCCCTCTCAGATCTTTTTAATGTGTTTAAGTCTACGGTACTGAAGTCGTCACTCAAACACATCTTGGCCACATTAGCATTAACCTGGTTAGAGGTCAGTATAATGGCTGTCAGATGCTGAATTGAACTATAGTCATCAATAAAGCTGAATCTTTGCTCATTCCATAATAAGTTTAAGGACAAGTTTTTAAGCCTAAAGTAAACAATCATTCCTCAACAACTTGATCAAAATGTGATTATTCCATTCTAACTTGGAACGAGTACAAATCAGACTGTACGAGTGTTGTTAAATATTTTGTGCAGTTTCTGAATCAAAAGGGAAAAAAAATAAGTCTGTTTTCATAAAGCACCATGTGGTTGTTTTTCTTATTCATCAGTTTAATTGTTCTGTTTTTTATTGGTTGTTTGGTCTGAAATGGTGGAAAATTGAAAACATGAATCCCCATGGCCCAACTTTAAAAACAGCAGCTGCAAATCTAAATGATTTACAGTCACTCTGTTGAAACATGACAGAAAATGCAAAAAAAAAAAATATTACTGACTGTAAAACAAAATGCCTTGAGCAAATTTTACATATTTTTTTCAATATATGATTCCCTGACTAAATACATTTTCCATTGAAATAAACAAAAATAAAAAACACACACCTGATAGAAATAAATTAACATTCAGCTCTATTATTGAAAACAATGTTTTATTATACATTGTATAAAAAAAGCAGTTTACATATATTTTTTAAGCTCAAGTAGCATAAAACATTTCTTGTCTGCTGTCTCAAAAGGTGGGTGATGGTGTGTCCGTCTGTTAGAAAAATACCTTGTGACCCAGCAGGAAGATTTCATTGAAACTCTCAGCAAGTTATTATTGAAGGTGCCCTTAAAACAGACTCACCTTTGGAGCCAACACAGTTCTAAATGGCTGCCACAGCTAATCGACTTTAGCAATCTCAGAAATTGCCCAAACTTAGTGTGGTGGTATCTGAGAGTCATTCCAATCACATCCTCTGAGCACTAACTTTGATATGAATTATTAATAAACCAATGAGAGCCCACCAGCTGTATTTTATTACTGCCATTAAATAATTACCTTTAATAAATTCAAACAAATGAGTGTTCCTAATATGTCTGTTTCTTTTCTTCACAGGGAGTCATTATTTTACTTGGAAACAAAGTTACAGAACATCCAACCAGTGGTGATGAAGGAGGGAAATTTCTTTTTGAGGTCATTCCAGGTAAGATTATAGCACTTTAATCCTTTTGCTCTTGATGGAAAATGAATGGAGAGGGCAATGTGCAACGAATGGAACAAAAACATTTAAAAAAATCATTTAATTTGATTAACGTTTGTTTTTGCCTGCAGCCTTTAAGAGATTGTATAATGTGTATTTGCAATGTTTAATGAAGGATTTATTCATCTTTAAACTCTAAAAATTCTCAATATATTTCAAAAGGTAAATCAATTTATAATGGATTTTATATTTTCTGTTGACAAGCTTCAACACTCGAGAAGCTCTAGATAAACAGCAGGTGTGTTGTTAGAATTGTGCCATATGTTTAATTAGAAAGGAAGGAGAACATGAAGTTGTCGTTTACCTTGTCAACATTTGTCAAAGTAATCCAGTAATGTCAATGTCAAACAATTTACATTTATTATCACCAAAGCTTCCATATGGATCTAGATGAAAAATGGGAGACCACAGAAAAACAGTATATATTTTTATCTAATCTAAGTTCATGAGAAGTTTGTAACATCTGTACTCTCTGAAGAAACAGAGTGCTAAATGCTGATGAAGCCCTGCAAAATAACTTAGTCCGTCATGTTTTTCATGTGTCACCAACCCTTAGATGAACCACAAGCATCAAGATGTTTTCCCTCATGAAGTGACCAGTTCTCGATGGACACAAGCAGCCAGGCAGTGTTGAGTTCAGGGGAATTGCAATAGAAATTGTGCCTTCTCACAATTTGGAGTAGCCAGCTTGTTGCAGCCCAGTGATATATCATCTTTAAGGAGATATGAGGGACTGTCAGCTAAAATGTGACAAAAAGCCTTGGGGTGTGTGAATATTAAAGCATGTAAAGCTATACAGAAGACTGCAACATTTCTTAAGCAGCTACTGTAAATGAGCATAATCTGGTCACTTTAAATACACTTCTATGTAGTTTATATTTTCAACAAAATCTTTATTGGAAATCTATAAACTGGTCTGTATTTTATTCCATGTGAACGCAGAGTCTATTTGATTATAGATGCTGTAAAATTCCACGAGTAGCCCAAGTATGCCGTGTATTCTCTTTTCATTTACCATTGACCAAAAAATTTGGCTGTTTGTAATCGCCAGTGAGACGTACCAGCAGAACTATAAAAGCAGACATGGAAATTTAAGCAGAGGTGTCCTGACCCAAAATAATTGTGTTATCTGAATATGGCTTCCCCACTCGGCCTTGAATTGGATCTCAACTTCTCCTGGTTGTTTATGTGAATGAGAAGCTCCCCCCAAATTGCTTCCCTCCCGAGGACATCTGCGGATCTGCATCAGAGTTGAGCCGGCTGATAAGACACGGTGCCATCTTTATCAGGACTATGGAACTTTCTGGCAGGGTCCATGAACAACTCACTGCCCTTGTCGGCCTCCTCATGCATAAATGTATTATGTCATCAGTATGTTGCTGTTTCATGTGTTGAGATCATTTTTTTGCAATAATCACCGTCCCATGTAGGACACAGTGCGAGATTTGATTGTTTTTTACACCTACACTCTTCCTCATGTTTTTTTTCCTCATCTGAAACATGGGTCTGTGCCTCTTGAGGCTGGTGGCCTCAGTCACCTCCGTCTCCCCACGTCAGTTTGTTTATATTTCTCTCGCATGGGCTGTACTGAAATGTAATTTTGTTGTGCTTCGGTGCAATGACAAAAAAGCTGAGTCTGATTTAAATACATTCAGATGTGCAGAAAGATTCAGCATCCGTTCAAATACAAGTGATCGGTTCAGACATCGTCATCTTCTGCACCCAAAAACATGGCTTGTTTTCCGACAGCTAATAAAGAAGTCTAAGACGCTTGGAGAGCAAAGGAAAGGAATAGGCAACGTATTTATTCCACTGCTCTAAGTGTGGCTCTGCAGTCAGAATGTACTGGCAGGCAGACAAACGGGAAGCAAAAGACGTGTGTGGGGAGGGGGCTGCTGGAGATGTTGGGTCATACAGAGATGATCATTGTCTTCTTGTGGTGGAGATGCACTGGTATCTGCTGGTTGCTGGGGGTGGGGGGCTTTTGAAGCAGCATCATGCTCTCAGACTGAAAGTCCACTCTGTATCCTCAGCTGTGCAGGAAAGTTATACTGAGACTTCACAAACATCTGAAAATGTTTAAAATGGAAAAACATTTTCTGTATCTGTCATTCACCTGTGCCGAGCGCTCGCTGATGCCGTTTCTGCTCCTCTCTTTTTGTCTTCGTCTCGCCACATCTGGGTGCTGAGCCTGCTGCAGTAAGAGACCAAACTAACCACAGAGCAACAATATTTAGACTGGAACTGTTCGCGGGGCTTTATTTTCAGCTGACACCCCAGGTACAGACGCAGTGAGGCTTTTGTTTTGCTCACCTAACCCAGACTTTGTTTTCCACTGACACTGACATGTTAAAACATGTGCAAGCACAAAGAACACATTGATCCAACTCTCAAATAGGCTCCACTTTTGGCTTTAAGTTACTTTTATTATTAAAAGCCTAGCATTCCTTGAAGGCATATCGCCCTCCTACCACCAATTGTGCCAAAGTTTAAACTACAATCATCTTATGGTTGGAAATGACACAGACACCTTGTAAATAATGTGGTGCAAATTCTCATACAATATTGTGAGATGCCATCCTCAGGGTGTATGTTGTTAGCAACTTTCATACTACCACATCAAATTTTAGCTCAATATCTGTAAAACCCACTGAGTTATTATCATTTTTGTGTTGGCTTTAGGCAGTTAGCTGTGGTAGCCATCCCAAATTGGAGTAACCCAAAAGGTTAAGCAGCTGCAGGTCCATTCAGTGATCCCTTTCTGCAAGTTGTACAAAATCAGTGCTGTGATTTGTGAGGTTTTTTGTAACAGACACAAGATTAGCATCCTCCATGTTGGCATATAATCCTTCATAGACAAAGCAACATTGGGGTAAAAGTATTTTTGTTTCTAACTTGTTTGAAACATTTATCAGAACTTTCTTCCTTCCTCTGGTTCTCAGTTCACTTTTATCTGCCGTTTAATCCTCAAAAGAATGTCAGGAATCATCTTAATATGGCTGCATGGAGTGAGTTTTGAACTGAACCAAGTGCCAACACAACCAGGCAACAACTCATTATACCAAAAGACTTTACTCCATTTTACCCACATACACTGAATGAATACCTGCTGCTGAATGTGACTTTCATTCAGCTGTGAGTAATAGTGTTTTTTAATAGTGCAAGAGTCAACAACAACAAAACCAAAAAAACCTCCCTGCTGTGTTTTTTGATTGGGAGACTATGTGTATGCTCCAAGCCTCGATAAAAGCTGGGATTTGGTTTCATTTGAGTTTCTCTCTTTGCCTCAGGTACTTTCTTGGGTTTGTTTTGTCTCTCAGTTTATCTGCTTGAAGTGTCTGGTCAGACGCATCTGCTGAACTATGACAATACTTCCCAGCTCATTGCCTTCACATTTCCTTTAACCCTAGGGGTCACGTTGTGGCCTCGAGCCTAAACTGTGTTTCCAAAGTAAATCACACAGGATTTATTTCTGAAGCAGGATAATTTCCTCTAGTTTCAGCATCAAATAGTTTGTTTGGCTCAAGAGTGTTACTTAAAATATTGTGCAGGCATTTCCTCTGATGTGAGGCTGATTTCAGAGCCTCACTCCATTAAACAACAATACTGCCCCCATGTGTTGATATTAAAGTATAACAATACAGTTAATTTATGTGTGCATTTTGCAAACATCTGCAGTACACAAAGGAAATTAAAAACCGTAACATGTATTTTAGAACATTTTTTGTATTTGTAAATTATTCTTGAAAGAAACAATTTGTTCTGGTTAGTCCACTTTTTAAGACTTTACAAATACATAAAACAAAATGTGAGTATTTACATTAAGAATTATCTTTGGAGTTTGTATTTTTCCCACTAAATTGACAATTTAAAAAAAATATATATTTTGCAACATTATAAGAAGTTCAATATCTTTAGATGGACAATGGTTTAATTGAACATACGTGAGCTCTTATAGTATTTAATTAATGTAATGATTACAAAGGGAAATGGTGACACTTAAAAAAAATATATCAAGATTTCCTTTCAAAGATTCACGTTATTTTTTATAGTCCATCTGTAAAATAATCATCTGTTGTGTTTTCTGTCATTTATATTTTGTATTCATTTTTTGCCCAGAAAGTGAGTGGTCATGTTTCTGTGCTTGTGTACCTGTGCTTGTTTGGCTGTTAGCAAAATATCTCATGAACCGCATATTGATGATACTCACAGAAAGATTCATAAACTTTTGAAGTTGCCACAGCAGCTAGTCGACATTAGCAAAACACAAAACTGGTTTTAACTCTTTAACTTTTACAAACGATGAGCAAAATTTGGGGATGGTAGTAACAGACTCATCCCCAACACATACTCTGAGCACTAACTAATTGTATGATATGTTTAAAGGTTTGTAGGCTCAATCAGATAACAAAAAAGATTAAATCACATGTTTACTTCAAATGTGTCAAATCCAAGGAGTCTGGTAATTTACATTCTTTAAGGAACACTTTTTAAATTCATATCAGCATAGAAATGCATTTTTCTGCATTCTCTTTTCATTTAAGTGCATATCTTACATATTTGGAATGTGAGGCTGCCAACGTCCCAGAACAGTAATAAAAATCACATTATTGTTATGTTTGTTTCACTGATAATTACAACATCAAATGCAAAATGTCAATGTGTCCTATCTGTGATGTGCCTCATCCAGATCACTAAACCTGTATGTTGCTCTTCTTATAAAAAATAAAAAACTAGACTGAATTTCAGGCTGATTCTACAGTCGACGGTTTGAGGCTGAAGACAGACGTGCAATTTTGTAACCACAGACAAGAATGCTGTTTTCAAGGACACTGTAATGTATAGCCTCACTGAGCTGACATGTAGACCTAAAGCACCCGAGGCTGATGATTAAATGATGGACAGAAGTATTTAAATTAAACTAACCAGCTCTGGAGGCCTTT